TATTATTGTGGCAAGCATCTAATATATGCCAAAAAGGTTTCAAAGGGGGTCGCCACGAGGCGTGACCTTCCTTAAAGAGGTCAACAGGGCCGACCCAGACACGCCTGTGACAGTCCCCTACCACCTACCAATCACCCTGCAAAGTTTAAACACCAACCGTAGGCTTAACACCAAACGTCAGGCATCTAACCTTGAACAGACAGAGAGACAAACACCCTCTTTAGTAGACATAGATTTATTTATTGGGTCCGAATGCCGTGCTTACAACCATCTGGCAAAAACTTGAGCGACCAGGCCAGAATGGGACAAAGTATATGTGGTTCGAGAGTCCATGATGATGTCTCGAACCGTCGTACAAGCTTATCTCTTGAGTGTGGAGTGTCCCCTCCCACCCCCCCATCCCCCCTCCATCCCCCCATCCATCCCCACCCCTCCATCCTCCCCCCCCCCTCATCAATCCGTCGAAGTACCCTCCCTCCCTTCCGTTCTTGGCCCCCTTCCTTTCATCCCCTCCCAACCATCACCTATCCCTCTATCCCTCCATCATTCCCCCCGGCCCTCCCTCTCATACCCCCCCCCCCTCGACTCCTTCCTCTCACTCCCTCTTCTTAACGAGGTTGCCATCATCAACTTGCAAGGCAATTTAGCGTGCAATAAAAATGGAAACCACGAACTCCAGGGAGTCAATTACTTGCAATGACAACATGATATACAGACAGGTTGAGAGGAGGGGGAAGGGAGGGAGTGATTGGGGGTACTTCTGTGGGTCCAGTTGGGTACAAGTGACAGGATGAACAACCCAGCGGGTTTTCTTCCTATTGGGGGGTGTTGTACATGCTGCTATGGCGGTGTGTCCACTCACAGGATGAGTGACGCTGCCCAATACTGTCACTATGGCGGTGTGTCCACTCACAGGATGGGTGGCGCTGCCCAATACTGTCACTATGGCGGTGTGTCCACTCACAGGATGAGTGACGCTGCCCAATACTGTCACTATGGCGGTGTGTCCACTCACAGGATGGGTGGCGCTGCCCAATACTGTCACTATGGCGGTGTGTCCACTCACAGGATGAGTGACGCTGCCCAATACTGTCACTATGGCGGTGTGTCCACTCACAGGATGGGTGGCGCTGCCCAATACTGTCACTATGGCGGTGTGTCCACTCACAGGATGAGTGACGCTGCCCAATACTGTCACTATGGCGGTGTGTCCACTCACAGGATGAGTGACGCTGCCCAATACTGTCACTATGGCGGTGTGTCCACTCACAGGATGAGTGACGCTGCCCAATACTGTCACTATGGCGGTGTGTCCACTCACAGGATGAGTGGCGCTGCCCAATACTGTCACTATGGCGGTGTGTCCACTCACAGGATGAGTGACGCTGCCCAATACTGTCACTATGGCGGTGTGTCCACTCACAAGATTAGTGGTGCAGCCCAATACTGTCACTATGGCGGTGTGTCCACTCACAGGATGAGTGGCGCTGCCCAATACTGTCACTATGGCGGTGTGTCCACTCACAGGATGAGTGGCGCTGCCCAATACTGCCACTATGGCGGTGTGTCCACTCACAGGATGAGTGACGCTGCCCAATACTGTCACTATGGCGGTGTGTCCACTCACAGGATGAGTGGCGCTGCCCAATACTGTCACTATGGCGGTGTGTCCACTCACAGGATGAGTGGCGCTGCCCATTAAACTCGCCCCTCGGGGCAAAATTAAAAAAAAAAATGTTTGGGTCATCCATCCTTTAATTCGTATTACATAAATAACAATCCACAATGTCATTCATTTACATCATCCGCTTGGATGATATAGCATAGACATTTCATTTTACAGACCCGAAGTCAATCCCCGAAGACCCAAGGGAGTCAAATGTTTTCCCCACGAAAGTACCCTTTAAAAATTTGTCAGTTTCTTTGTGGAGTCTAAATTTTATGTGCATTAAACATTTATATTTTTTTGGTCACTCACACATACATACATACATACATGTATATATGAAAGGTATGTATGAAAGGCTGTTGGGCCGGACGGAATCTCACCATGGGTACTGAAAGAGTGTGCAGGAGCACTTTGTTTGCCACTCTTCATAGTGTATAGTAGGTCACTGGAGACGGGAGACCTACCAGAAATATGGAAGACGGCGAATGTGGTCCCAATGCACAAAAAGGGTGACAGACAAGAGGCACTGAACTACAGGCCAGTGTCCTTGACTTGTATACCATGCAAGGTGATGGAGAAGATCGTGAGAAAAAACCTAGTAACACATCTGGAGAGAAGAGACTTCGTGACAACCCATCAACATGGGTTCAGGGAGGGTAAATCTTGCCTTACAGGCTTGATAGAATTCTACGATCAGGTGATAAAGATTAAGTAAGAAAGAGAAGGATGGGTGGACTGGATTTTTTTAGACTTTCGGAAAGCCTTTGACACAGTACCCCATAAAAGGTTGATGCATAAGCTGGAGAAACAGGCAGGAGTAACTGGTAGGGCGCTCCAGTGGATAAGGGAGTACCTAAGCAATAGGAAGCAGAGAGTTAAAGTGAGGGGTGAGACTTCAGAATGGCGTGAAGTCACCAGTGGAGTCCCACAGGGCTCTGTGCTTGGACCTATCCTGTTTCTGATATACGTAAATGATCTCCCAGAGGGTATAGACTCATTCCTCTCAATGTTTGCTGACGATGCCAAAATTATGAGAAGGATTAAGACAGAGGAGGACAGCTTGAGGCTTCAAGAAGACCTGGACAAGCTGCAGGAATGGTCGAACAAATGGTTGTTAGAGTTTAACCCAAGCAAATGTAATGTAATGAAGATAGGTGTAGGGAGCAGGAGACCAGATACAAGGTATCATTTGGGAGATGAAATACTTCAAGAGTCAGAGAGAGAGAAAGACCTGGGGGTTGATATCACGCCAGACTTGTCCCCTGAAGCTCATATCAAGAGGATAACATCAGCGGCATGTGACAGGTTGGCTAACATAAGAACGGCATTTAGAAACTTATGTAAAGAATCTTTCAGAACATTATATACCACATATGTCAGACCAATCCTGGAGTATGCGGCTCCAACATGGAGTCCATATCTAGTCAAGGATAAGACTAAACTGGAAAAGGTTCAAAGATTTGCCACCAGACTAGTTCCCGAACTAAGAGGTATGAGCTACGAGGAGAGACTACGGGAATTAAACCTCACGTCACTGGGAGACAGAAGAGTTAGAGGGGTCATGATCCCCACATACAAGATTCTCCGAGGAATTGATAGGGTAGATATGGACAGACTATTTAACACAAGGGGCACACGCACTAGGGGACACAGGTGGAAATTATTGAGTGCCCAAATGAGTCATAAAGACGTGAGAAAGAATTTTTTCAGTGTTAGAGTAGTAGACAAATGGAATGCTTTAGGCAGTGATGTGGTGGAGGCTGACTCCATACACAGTTTCAAATGTAAATATGATAGAGCCCAGTAGGCCCATGTACATTAGTTGATTGACCGTTGAGAGACGGGACCAAAGAGCCAGAGCTCAACTCCCCCGCAAGCACAACTAGGTGAGTACATACATACATACATAAACACAGCACACAAACACATAAATCGGTGATTGTTTATGCTGCAAAACTAACGAGAAGAGTTGTGACAGATGAGAATTGTATGGTTCTCAAAGGTAATTTAAGCTTCATTCTTGGTCCAAGAAATGGCTTCTGGATTTCAACACCATTAAGTGTAAGGTGATGGAAATGGGAACGTGTGACAGAAGATCAAAACGACGGCGCACACTGAACGGAAATTACCTCCAGGTAACGAGTAAAAACGACTTGGGACAAGATAAATATAATTAGAAGAACATCAATACAATACTCTAAATACGAAGGCATATAAATCATTGTACACCACCTACACGAGACCAGTTGTAGAGTATGCAGCCCCCACTGTGGAGCCCCCATCTCAACAAATCCATCAACTCGAAAAGGTTCAGAAGTTTAGAACGCGACTTGAATTGTGACGGGTATGAAGAAAGACTGAAAGAACTAGACCTGACGTCGCTTAAAACAAGAGGATAAAAGATTGCCACAGACATACAATATTTAAATTGATTGACTAATTAGGAAGGAAGGAATTATCAAGGGGAAAGCGCCAAGCCATTATGGCTATATAGCACTTGCAAGGGGTCAGGATAAGGATCTGGGATGGGACGGGGGGGAAGGAATGGTGCCCAACCACTTGTGGACGGTCGGGGATTGAACGCCGACCTGCATGAAGCGAGACCGTCGCTCTACCGTCCACCCCAAGTGGTTGGGCAGCTGATTGGGAAGAAAAAGGAAATGTTAGCGATGAATACCAATGCAACAAGGTGTGAATTGAGAAATTTATAGTTATAGAGATGTTAGAAAGCTTTCCTTTAGCATAAAACTAGTGGGAAAATGGAATGATCAAAATGAATGAGTTTCAGAAGCAAACGCAAATATATAGAATCGGGGAATAGATGTTAAAAGGGAGTATCTTTCTTCTTGAGATTATCTTGAGATGATTTCGGGGCTTTTTAGTGTCCCCGCGGCCCGGTCCTCGACCAGGCCTCCACCCGCAGGAAGCAGCCCGTGACAGCTGACTAACACCCAGGTACCAATTTTACTGCTAGGTAACAAGGGCATAGGGTGAAAGAAACTCTGCCCATTGTTTCTCGCCGGCGCCTGGGATCGAACCCAGGATCACAGGATCACAAGTCCAGCGTGCTGTCCGCTCGGCCGACCAGCTCCCCGGTCGTAGGGGAGCTCGGCTCCCCGGAGTAGGTCTCAACTACACAATTTACAAGAAACAAACGAAGAACAAACAAACAAACACCACCACCACACTGACACGTGCACACAATTCACTACTCTCCGCCCCACAGACAGCTAACGATGCCATTCAGCGGCTAATCACCTCGTTAACGACGCCTGTCCCAGAAACCCTAATTGTAACGCGGCACTGAGTGATTACGTCCAGGAAAGGTGAGATGAAACCAGTCTACCTCGACCCAGGAGGTGTAGAACCAGTCTACCTCGACCCAAGAGGTGTAGAACCAGTCTACCTCGACCCAAGAGGTGTAGAACCAGTCTACCTCGACCCAAGAGGTGTAGAACCAGTCTACCTCGACCCAAGAGGTGTAGAACCAGTCTACCTCGACCCTAAGAGGTGTAGAACCAGTCTAACTCGACCCAAGAGGTGTAGAACCAGTCTACCTCGACCCAAGAGATGTAGAACCAGTCTACCTCGACCCAAGAGGTGTAGAACCAGTCTACCTCGACCCAAGAGATGTAGAACCAGTCTACCACGACCCAAGAGGTGTAGAACTAGTCTACCTCGACCCAATAGGTGTAGAACCAGTCTACCTCGACCCAAGAGGTGTAGAACTAGTCTACCTCGACCCAAGAGGTGTAGAACCAGCTAGGTCTACCTCGATCCAAGAGGTGTAGAACCAGTCTACCTCGACCCAAGAGGTGTAGAACCAGTCTACCTTGACTGGTTCTACACCTCTTGTGAGGGATAAACTTCTGTGTCAAGACACAAAAAGGCGAGATTGAATTTTCTCGTATCACCAGAGACTCGATCTTGGGTCCCAAAAGTACGAGACACAGAATAAAGTTTAACGAGCTCGTAAATGTCTCGTCGTTAGAGCTTAGCTACACTGAATATTTCCCGGAAAATAGGCAACAAACGAACGATTATCGTTGAACGAAATTGGCATGAACTCCCCCCCCCCCTTTCCCCTCCCCCCCTCCCCTCTCCTGGTCATGAAAGATCAATACTGCGAGTTGGTCTGTGTTGCAAAAAATGTTGACTTAAAAACAAAAGAATCAGGGCAATTGCTGAAGGCTATATATATATATATAATGCTTATGTTATAGAAATATTGATCACAGGTTAGATTAGAGGTATAGAAGGTCATCACTAAATGCAGGAGACGTTATTGTCCTCTGTAGTTTTGATCTTATATATGAGGTCATTATATTGTGCCAGTTCCCCCCCCCCCCTCCATAGAGCCGTGTTGAGCCCTAACTACACCCCCCAAACTCTGAGGGTAATTGCCGGCTGTATAATTAATATACAACTTGTTTCAGCGCCTCAGTGTTGCGATCCAGAGGGGCAACGCCTGCTGCATCCTCAGTTCCCGTCTGGGAAGCATTGGAGCTTCAAGAGATTCATAACCTTTTAACACTCATTGTATTAACCAATATACATCTTGTAATCATTAAATACATTATATATATAATATATATTATAATTAACCACAAATATATATTCCTATAGTTATTATATAAACATTTTATTATTATTTTACCTGTTTGCAGTATTTCGTACTCGGATCATTCTAATCTTATGGCGTCACAGCTGTTCACTCCACTACTGCCCCTTGGGCTGGACGGTAGAGCGACGGTCTCGCTTCCTGCAGGTCGGCGTTCAATCCTCGAACGTCCCAAAGGGGTTAGGCATCATTCTTCCACACCCCCCCGTCCCATCCCATACCCTTATCCTGACCCCTTCCCAGTGCTACATAGTCGTAATGGCTTGGCACTTATCCCCGTAACAATTCCCTTCCACTACTGTCACAATTGGGCATTTTCCCACACTCGTTTAAGTCAAGATTTGTGGATGAAATTGGCCCTTTATCCTCTGTTCCTCACATGGACGTCCGTATATAATTATTTTATAATTATATAAGTTTGCGTGAGTTGATAATTCTCACGTTAAGTTTGATATATTTCACTGTGTAAGTTCACTGGCTTACAATATATAACTCGACACTGTGATTACCGCGGTTCTGTCCTCACTGCTGAGTATTGTAGACTGTTCTGTAATCTTTCTCCTTGCCTGAGCAAGCCGAGCAGTGTCGCAGGTCCAGAGAACTGTTGTTGTAGGGAGAAATGAGACAATAAGTCCCTACACACACCTCTCTTTTGTGTAACTGTATTCCTTTCTATATTCAACTCGGTTTTATGGTCATTGGTGCATCTTGCAAAATGTGTTTATGTTATATTACAATAATGTTAATATTATAGAGTGTATAAGAGCGTGTTGTATATACTTGCTTGCCCTAATGTTAACTACCTCAGTGTATACTTCACTCCTCAGGCCAGGCTCGTTAAGGCTGCGGCCGTCCACTAAGGCGCATTCATTCATGCTAAAGTTTCATGTATTTAAAATAAAAGTTTGTTCTCATATATAAATATATTACAGTTATAAAGTTAGGCTTAAATAGTCATAGTAAAGTTCTCTCTATAGTTTAAGTTTGGTTGGATGTTTAGGTTCTGTTGGCGATTATTTGTAATTGTAGCACGTGAGTGAAGCAGTTATAGCAACCCGTCCTCGACTCAAGTCCATTCCATCCAGCTGTCGACCCCACGGACGTATTCATAATTTTTTACATGCTGTTCATTCAAAACGAGAATTTTTTCAAGTATAAATTAATATTATAATATATTAGCATATTGTGTATATATAGGCATAGGTTAGGTTAGGTGTTTAGGTTCTGTTGGCGATTATTTGTATTTGTAGTACGTGGGTGAAGCATTTACAGCGGTGTGATTCGAACACAAGTTGTCAGTGAAGCACTTGTTCCGGATATGTTCGAACGTCAGCAGTTGTGAGTCGTGTGTAAACCGTTTTTCAATCATAAACAGCTGGTGTGGCGAGAACAGCCCGTCCTCTAAACAAAGATTCAAAGGTGATTCCATGCACCCGCCAAACCTCCTGTCAGTACTTTGAACTGACTGGAGGCAAACAATGAACTGACTGGTGGCGACTGGATGCGTACTTTGAACTGACTGGTGGCGTACTTTGAACTGACTGGAGACGTACTTTGAACTGACTGGAGGCATACTTTGAACTGACTGGAGGTGTACTTTGAACTGACTGGAGGCGTACTTTGAACTGACTGGAGGTGTACTTTGAACTGACTGGAGGCGTACTTTGAACTGACTGGAGGCGTACTTTGAACTGACTGGAGACGTACTTTGAACTGACTGGAGGCATACTTTGAACTGACTGGTGGTGTACTTTGAACTGACTGTTGGCTTACTTTGAACTGACTGGTGGTGTACTTTGGACTGACTGGAGGCGTACTTTGAACTGACTGGTGGTGTACTTTGAACTGACTGGTGGCGTACTTTGAACTGACTGGATGCGTACTTTGAACTGACTGGTGGTGTACTTTGAACTGACTGGTGGCGTACTTTGAACTGACTGGAGACGTACTTTGAACTGACTGGAGGCATACTTTGAACTGACTGGAGGTGTACTTTGAACTGACTGGAGGCGTACTTTGAACTGACTGGAGGTGTACTTTGAACTGACTGGAGGCGTACTTTGAACTGACTGGAGGCGTACTTTGAACTGACTGGAGACGTACTTTGAACTGACTGGAGGCATACTTTGAACTGACTGGTGGTGTACTTTGAACTGACTGTTGGCTTACTTTGAACTGACTGGTGGTGTACTTTGGACTGACTGGAGGCGTACTTTGAACTGACTGGAGGCGTACTTTGAACTGACTGGTGGTGTACTTTGAACTGACTGGAGGCGTACAGCTTTGAACTGACTGGAGGCGTACTTTGAACTGACTGGTGGTGTACTTTGAACTGACTGGAGGTGTACTTTGAACTGACTGGAGGCGTACTTTGAACTGACTGGAGACGTACTTTGAACTGACTGGAGGCATACTTTGAACTGACTGGTGGTGTACTTTGAACTGACTGTTGGCTTACTTTGAACTGACTGGTGGTGTACTTTGGACTGACTGGAGGCGTACTTTGAACTGACTGGAGGCGTACTTTGAACTGACTGGTGGTGTACTTTGAACTGACTGGAGGCGTAATTTGAACTGACTGGAGGCGTACTTTGAACTGACTGGTGGTGTACTTTGAACTGACTGGAGGTGTACTTTGAACTGACTGGTGGTGTACTTTGAACTGACTGGTGGCGTACTTTGAACTGACTGGAGGCGTACTTTGAACTGACTGGTGGCGTACTTTGAACTGACTGGTGGCGTACTTTGAACTGACTGGAGGCGTACTTTGAACTGACTGTTGGCTTACTTTGAACTGACTGGAGGCGTACTTTGAACTGACTGGAGGCGTACTTTGAACTGACTGGTGGCGTACTTTATACTGACTGGTGGCGTACTTTGAACTGACTGTTGGCTTACTTTGAACTGACTGGAGGCGTACTTTGAACTGACTGGTGGCTTACTTTATACTGACTGGTGGCGTACTTTGAACTGACTGGTGGCGTACTTTGAACTGACTGGAGGCGTACTTTGAACTGACTGGAGGCGTACTTTGAACTGACTGGTGGCGTACTTTGAACTGACTGGTGGCGTACTTTATACTGACTGGAGGCGTACTTTGAACTGACTGGAGACGTACTTTGATCTGACTGGAGGCGTACTTTGATCTGACTGGTGGCGTACTTTGAACTGACTGGTGGCGTACTTTGAACTGACTGGTGGCGTACTTTATACTGACTGGAGGCGTACTTTGAACTGACTGGAGACGTACTTTGATCTGACTGGAGGCGTACTTTGATCTGACTGGTGGCGTACTTTGAACTGACTGGTGGCGTACTTTGAACTGACTGGTGGCGTACTTTATACTGACTGGAGGCGTACTTTGAACTGACTGGTGGCGTACTTTGATCTGACTGGAGGCGTACTTTATACTGACTGGAGGCGTACTTTGAACTGACTGGAGGCGTACTTTGAACTGACTGGTGGCGTACTTTGAACTGACTGGTGGCGTACTTTATACTGACTGGTGGCGTACTTTGATCTGACTGGAGGCGTACTTTGAACTGACTGGAGGCGTACTTTGAACTGACTGGAGGCGTACTTTGAACTGACTGGTGGCGTACTTTGAACTGACTGGTGGCGTACTTTATACTGACTGGTGGCGTACTTTGATCTGACTGGAGGCGTACTTTGAACTGACTGGAGGCGTACTTTGAACTGACTGGAGGCGTACTTTGAACTGACTGGAGGCGTACTTTGAACTGATTGGTGGCGTACTTTGAACTGACTGGTGGCGTACTTTGATCTGACTGGTGGCGTACTTTGATCTGACTGGTGGCGTACTTTAAACTGACTGGTGGCGTACTTTATACTGACTGGTGGCGTACTTTGATCTGACTGGTGGCGTACTTTGATCTGACTGGTGGCGTACTTTGAACTGACTGGAGACGTACTTTGATCTGACTGGTGGCGTACTTTGAACTGACTGGAGACGTACTTTGATCTGACTGGTGGCGTACTTTGAACTGACTGGAGACGTACTTTGATCTGACTGGTGGCGTACTTTGATCTGACTGGTGGCGTACTTTGAACTGACTGGTGGCGTACTTTGATCTGACTGGTGGCGTTCTTTGATCTGACTGGTGGCATACTTTGATCTGACTGGTGGCATACTTTGAACTGACTGGAGAC